AAAATAGTGGGGCGGGCACGAGTAGTGCACCCTAAACGCCGCCCCTTTTTGGAGCCATGAACACATGGTCCGAAAAATCGGAGCTATACGGCTGGCTGTTTCCAATGATGTCGGGCATAGGGAATATAGCTCTGTGTGTTCCGGTGTTTTCTCGAGGACAACATTGCCTAGAATTGAGAGTCGAAACGGTCCGGATTGGGTATTGAAGATAATAACTCCACTCGGACGAGACAGGACTAGACTTTTCGTGTGCCAACTGGAAGACCAAGTCAATGACACCTTGTAGGATACGATTTGCCGGCGGACCAGAACCTCATGGAGACAATTGGAGCTGTTCTGGTATGAACAATTAAGTTACAACACGAAGTCCAAGGAACGATGGGATACCCAACAGAGGATCCGCGCCTAGGGGCGGACAAAGTACACATAAGGCAGGGCTGTGAGCTCCAAAACGCAAGACCTGTGCGAGGGCGTGGATAGAATATGGGAGGGAGACAGCGATGTCTGAACGATGCAACAATCACAAGTGCCTGTCATCAACAAGCACGATATGCAGAATTGGCGGGCTGGATTCCGTGTTTGACTGCGGTTTATACTTTTATTTATTTATGTACTTCTTTGTTTGCCATCATGATGTCGTGGTTAATAGGTAGGGGCCGGAAACAGGGGCCGAGTGGAGGAAAAAACACGACTCAAAATGTACTCTGTACTCTGTACACCCTTGGATGATTTCGAGATGAATGACAATGCAGTACAGCACAAAAGGTTTGGAGCACAAACGGTGGCTGCATTAGCCCCAGCCTGGTCAGGCCGACCCAAAGAACAGCCTCACAGCAGCACGACAATGACGCCAATACCACGTACAATATTGAAGGGCTGAGGACCCAACAAACATTACGAGTCGATGACAAACATATAACGGAACGAAAAGTGACTGCTATCAATTAAGGCTTCTGATGTTTACTCACAACAGCTGGGTGATCGGATTACGGCCCTGCCTTTTTTTTTTTAATTCTTGATCCTTACCTTCGGTGTCTTCAACCGTCCCTTGCTCATCAATTTCCGTCTGCGGGGGTCAACCATGACGCTGTGCAAAATTGCATGCTGGATAAGGCAATTACAAATGAGACTAGTGTTTTATGCTAGGTCCGATCATAACTGCTCACCATCCCCGCCTGGCGTATGAAAGTTTTGGGCCATTATCCATTGTTCATCATTGATAAACCCCTGTCGTCTTGGAAATGGGAAATTGGATAATTGGATAGAGGCAAGGAAATGGAAACACCCGATCAACGCTTCGTTCAGATTCGAGACAGCTTACCAGGAACCAAGGACACATTAAATGCCAGGCATGGTGAGCTAAATGGTGCATTGTCCGGGGAGGGTCGCGATCAGATTACGATCTCGATACCAGGTTGCTGTTTGTGATGTTGCCCTACCTACCTTGGATGCATGTGTGTGTCTGCAATAAGCGTCCCGATGCCCAGCCACGAACCACCGCCAACGGGCTGAAGTGTTTGCCTTGCGGCTGTGTTTTCATCTTTGACGGCGGTCTGACTCCTGCATCGGGCGCATGAAACCAGGCAGGTAATGGGCAAGAAGTGAACACACACACTTCTCAAACGCGTAAGTCGAATCTTACATGGAGAACAGCGCATCATGTGCGCCGCCAAATGGTGGGAGGTACGCGGAATACCGGTCCCTTGGCTTGTCAACGGTGAGTTAGGCGTGGCGGCGCGATCGATATCGAGCTTCCGAGACGATAATCAACTCTCGCACTCATAGACTTGGTGACCATGATGCTAGCAACTGCCAAATTAGTCTATAGATACAACCCTGCTTGGATATGCAAAGCATGTTTGCACACGGTCGCAAATGAGGCCATGTCCTACAGGCCGGGTCAGAAACACACCAGCACGGGCATCATGGCAAAATAAATGCCCTGCTGGGTCTACAAATAGGTCGACAAACGAGATGGCAATGTTGGAAGGTGCCAACGCATGCACATGCCGTATGTATAATACGCACAATTATCTGGTGCATTACCACTCACGACTGTGACGGGGATGCGGGCGCTCGTTGCGGCACACCAACCCCTTGTGGGCTCCAGCCAGGTAGTGGTACGGAGACTTCCAATCTTGTTTTGTACGAAGCAGCATGTAATAATGTAGGTACAGTATGTCGCATGTCGTGTCTGGCGTTGAACCTGGTCGGATGGTTCAGGCTCAGTCTGTGATGGTTTGCGACGCCCAGCTCGGGTCCACTCGAGCGACAAGAGGTGTCAGCCAAGACACCCCCTCCCCAGTCGAACGGGGTCTGGTGCCGTCGAGGTGCTTTGCTGCCGCGATGTGCTCACCATCCATGTCGGCCGTGGGCCAAGTGTTGGCGTCGTGGTTTGCTGGAGTCGATGTGTTTGTGGCCACACCCATCAGACGACAGAAGCGCAGGATTAGCGTCGCCCAACTTTGATCAATTCAAATGTTGCAAGTGGACGCGCTATTGCAGCCTGTACAAGCCCGTCCTGCCTACTTCCAGGTAAGTACCTGGCCGGTGCCAGGCCCCCAGCTGCCCCAGTGTGGCCTCCGACGGGCCACTCGTCGCCTCTGGCTCCATGCACGCAAGTACCCAGGTACCTTGATAGAGGTGTCGAGGTGCCCGCTGAAGCTTCCTAAATTGCTGCTGAAATGTTCGTCCTGTCGTCCTGTTGGCCTCTGCATTTGTGCTCTCTTGTCATGCTCCTCCTCTTCTGACCTCAGACCAGGGGACCGCTGCGCTTCCGCACACATGCACTTGGGCGCAGGGACGGGCTCGCTCGTGGACTGCTCGTGGAGCACCTACCTAGTAGTACTCGTGGGATACCCGCTGCAGCACCTGGCGCGGTGCTGCTGCTGCTGGTACCCAGTCAGTCCAGGCTGCTCGACTGCGGGCCACACTCCTCCATGTCGGTACTGGCACTCCGTACCAAGTACACACGCCCAGTTGTATGTAGTACGCTCTGCTCCCAGCTCCCAGCTCAGCTCTGACCCTCTGGCTCGTTAAAACTACTCCAGACCTCTCCTCCAGTCATTTCATCTCTGCTCTATCCTCCTCCTACTTTTCTATACCACCTCCCTTCTCCTCTTTCTCTCCTTCCTCTCCCTCGTTTCCTATCCATTCATTCCCTCATCCATTCCGCCTCGTCCTGACCCGTTCGAGCAACTAGGTCAGATTCGAGTCTGGCAACTGGACCGAGGAGAATCCGCCATCACGCATTCTCTCCCCACGGCCCGATCCCCCCCCCGGCCGCCGTCTGTATTGAAAGGATAGGAACAGGAGGCTTCTAAGCCACCGCCGCCCCCCCGACTCGGATTTCAACTCGAATAGAGGCAAGGGATTATAATATAAAGAGTGGAATACGGAAACACCTTGACTGGTATTCTTGCTATTCTACTTCTTCAGTTATTCTCCTAGTCGCTGCTCACTCGGCACCTTGGTTTGTCCTTCGCCCTACGTCCCCAGAATTCCTCGGCGCCGAACAGAGGAATTTCGAATCAAACCCGTCCAATCCGCTCGCTCGCTCCCTTGGCTACCCGTCAACGCCGCATGTTGACCCAGCGTTGCTTCCCGAGACTTTGATCCTGTTGGGCATTGACACCGTTGCTTCAATTTCAGCTCAGACAGATCTGGCCCTGATACCGTCAGTTTCGCGCCGAAGACACTTGGGTGGTAGACTTATGCCAACCGCTTCCTGCAGTTGGCAAATAAGTATTCAATCTTACGTGCTCGTATTTCACTCCGTTGTCGTGCTATTCGTTTCTCTTGTCAGCAGATGATCAGCGTCTTTCGCCATAGTTGGTCAACCTCAGTCAGATTAGCCAGCGTCGCTCTTCATTGATCGATCCGAATCCCAAAAAAAAAGAAAAAATTCAACCTGGTCCTATTGAATGATTATTTGCCGTACATCAATTTCTCTGCATCTCTTGGGTTACTGAGCCAAGTTCACGACGCCATCAGTCTTCCTGTATGCAGTAGACAGGTATGTTGGATGGAGCTCGTCCCGAAATTAGCTTTCAATAAGACGTCCCTAATCAATGTCGAGTTTCGCCCTCACTCAGCTGCGTGCCGTGGCCGACTTTTGCATATCTCAGCTTGCTCCACTGTCGCGGTCGACTTCAATCCTGGGCATTGCTTGTGTGGGAGACGTTAACTCGTTGGTCCCACCCAATCACAGGACCGTCTCAACCGTTCTGCTGCATCTTTGTCCTGTGCCTTTGCCTTTTGCCGGTAAGCCATCTCTCATCCACCAACGCCATCATCCCTTGTTCTGCTGCTTCTGCCGGGCGCCCCTTTTGGTGCCGATTCATCGCATTCCTTGTGCCCGGCCAAGAGGCCCTCCAGCCAAGGGAGTGGCCACATCAAGGGGAAAAGTCCCCATTACCTGAGGGATGGCAGCGGGCCATGTTTCTCGCGCCAGCCAAGATCGACCACATCAAATTCTGCAGCGGGTCTCCCATTGCTAACGAACCGCGTCGATATTCTACAGCTCTGTCAATTGGCATCTCGTTTTTAAACAGCTCCTCGTCCAATCCCTTCTCCTAGACTACCGGTAATCGAGTCCATGGTCTTGGTTTCTTCCCAGCCACAGTCACTCTTTTCTATTAGTTCTTGACCACACTCCTTTTAATCTTCTAATACCGTAATTCCTTGTGCGCGCGGCACTCCTTGAAACGCGCCCAAGCCCATTCTTTATTCAATCGTCTCCGACCTCAAGATTCCTGGAGAATTTTATTCAGTCACTCTTTGACTCGAAAGGCCTCTCGCTAGGCCTTCATAATATCACAACGTCGTCGAAATCGAGACACAAGACAACACTCTGGCATCATAATCTTCATCATCAGCATCAGTTTGTCCGGTAACACTCAACATGGCTTTCCTTCACACCGACGATACCTTCTTCATCGACTCCGACGAACCTCTCCAAACCCGCATCGATGCTCGCACAGCTGCCAAGATGATCGCACGCAACAGGCAAGATATCATTGCCGGCGAGCTATCACGACTTGCCGGAGAGGAATACTTGGAGGATATAATGCAACACATGAGGCAAATGGAGGCATGTTTTTACCCACAGTTTTTGTAACAAAAGTATACTGTGTTTTCGATTGCTAACCTCGACCTGTAGAACGAGACGCTTCCCGACGCCAGTCTTATCGACATGCAACGCGAGATCCAATGGTTCATGAGACCCTATCTTATCGACTTCCTCGTTGAGGCCCACGCTGCTTTTGCCCTATTACCGGAGACGCTCTTCCTAACGGTCAACCTGCTGGATCGCTACTGCTCAAGGCGTGTCGTGTACAAGCAACATTACCAGCTGGTCGGCTGTGCTGCCTTGTTGATCGCTGCCAAGTATGGCGACAAGAAGGACCGTGTTCCTCAGATCCACGAGCTCAACAACATGTGCTGCGGACTATACGATGCCGGCATGTTCACCCAGATGGAGATGCATGTCCTGAACACTCTAGAGTGGACCATTGGACATCCTACTGTTGACTTCTTCTCGCAGCTGATAGTAGCAGAGGAACATGATGACAGAGAAGTCGAGCAGATGGCCGCATACCTCAGCGAGATTGCCCTCTACCACAGAGACTTTGTTTCAACGAAACCTTCGATCATGTCCCGTGCTTCATTAACACTCGCTCGAGCAATCCTTGGGCGCCCAGAGGCTAACGACGGGGAATGGGATCACAGTGAGAACGTCACTCTACTGGCACTCTCTCAGCACCTCAGCCAGCCCTCACCGACTCTAGCTCGGAAATATTCTACTCCTCACATGTCTAGAGTCTCACAAAAGCTGGTCGACTTCATGGCCGGACAGGCTGCCATGGCCGCACGCAATGCCAACCCACCTACACCACCCAGCGACATGTCTTCGAAACAAGGCGACATTTACAGCACTCCCCAAAAGGGACACGGTGCAGCTATGGGATTCGAAGGGTATCTGACACCTCCAATCACACCTGACGGTGCTTGCTTCGGCAACGGAAACCAAAATGTGGCTAAGGATGCATATCACATGCCCCCGCGTTGCCCCGTCACGCCAACGCCACAGCAACACCACACCAGTTACGCCCAACAAGCGCGCCAGTACATTGGCTTCCCTACACAACATCAATTACACGGCATTCATCAACAATAGGATTTTTGGTCTCGAGCCCGCATTGTGTAGTTAAGGGCAGCCCCAATGGGGTCTCCGAGAAGGAGAACACCTACGGGGTAGGGATCTAATCAATATCCAACCCCGGCATCGCTTGGACTCGACATTCCAAAAAATAACAGCATAACATCACCACACTTTTCATATTTACTACGTCATGGCATTTAGCGATTTGATATTTTTTTTCCTTTTTTTATATGTATGGCAACATTTTGCGCATGAAAAAGAAAAATTTCCGCAGCAAGTCTTGCAGGCACCAAAAAAAATGGCACATTGATCATACCCCATTTTCCTTCCTCGAGTTTTTTCTTATAATTTTCTCTGGTATCACTTATTTGCATGCTACACTTTTGCAGCCCGAAAAGGATTGTCTTTTCATGAGAAAAAGTACGGACAGTGTTGTAGGAAAGGGCTCGAAGGAACTGTGGAATCATTGGGATTTGTGACGGAATGAAACAAACAATCGGGCCAGCCTTGGAATCGACGGGAGAAGTAGAACGGACGAGGAATCTGAGAATGCGAAAATGGCCCATACTGCACATTGGGTGGAGCTGAAGAGAATCGACAGAACAAAAAGGGGATACCAAGCAGGGAGGCGAGACTTGGGGGGCCGCTCTGGTCTCAATCAGGCAACGATGAGGCCAAGGTGCTCATGACTCTGTACAATTCTTTCGAAGACCGAAGAAGGGGAATCCCGGGGGGCGAGCAATCATTGCCATGGTTGCGCAGCTCAATGCGGCGTCGCTCACGCGAAGGGAGAGAGGACTATGGGCTCTGGGTGGATATGATGGTCTCTGTCAGGCATGCACATACACACGTATCTAAGGGAGCCAGGAGATGATGCTCAAGTGCGGAGTAGCCCCCTAGAGCTGCTTTAGAAGGACGCAGCAATCACAAAGACAAACCATGTACATAAGAGCTGCTCTGCATAGCGTTTTCTTTTTTGGAGGGACGAAGGAGTACATTTTCTCCCAGCCAGGATAAATGGCGTGGTGGTGTACATATTTCTCGCAACCAGGCCTTCAGCACACCCTTTTTCGGTCTTTGAGTGCCTGTATGCAGGCAGAAGAATAAGAGAAGTAAAATTCTTTTTTTTTTTCATATTGCATGTTTCCAACAGGGCATTTTGAATGGTGAATGTTATGTGAATGTCTACTACGGAGCTATGTGGATGTATGCGCCATGCAGCCTTCACGCAAGCCATTTGCATTATTTGCATCATTTGCACGATTAATTATGTCGCGTGCATTAGTTGCGGCGTGGGGTCTTGCATTAAGCACCAGCCGTGCCAAGTACCCTTATAGCCAGTCGAGCTGCCAGACCTGCAAGCCTTGTGCATATTCAATCATGCCCAGGAGCCAAATGAAATATGCGTTTATTGCGCATAGTCACTGCAAGCCTTAGGGGGGTAAAGAAAGGAGGAACACGATGTAGCGTCGTGGCATCTTAGCGCCTCACATCACGGAAACGGAAATGATGTTAATGCTACTAGTACCTAGTCTACCTGGAGGTACCTAGTACCCAGCAGTTACTCCGTGTAGCAGCAAAGAGTGCGTTTTTGGAAGCAGCATCCAAAATAGCATGTTTGCTCGTGCTCGGCCAGGATTCAGGATGTAGAATGCCCACCCTCATTTTTACGCCTTTTCCGTCCGGGATGCCCAAAGTTCGATGGTTGGACAAGGCGAAAAGTTGGACTGAGATCGAGATCTCTTTATGCTGCTGCTGTGACGTCAGCACGGGCGGGTCTCATTTCGGCGCTTCTTACACCATGTGGTTGAGCTAGTCGGTGGTGGCCGTGGGTACATATGTGTGTAGTCAGGGGAAGCGACGCTGTCGAGGGAACTGGGGCCGGCTCAGCCGCGCATGTATCCCCGTGGTATTGACAGTGGATTAGTGGTGGTGTGCTTTCGTTTGGTCACGATGCCTGGCCTTGCCCAACAATTTGCTGTTTTGCCCATCTTGGTCCGATGGGCATGTACATTTAATCCAGATGCGCGTTCCAAAAGGCTAAAACCGCGGTGGGCATCCTCGGCCCTTTGGCTCGGGAAACGCCTTCAGGACCGTGGTGGTCGGGCTTGGTCCTGCCGACACGGATGGGCACGCTTGGTGCAGTCGGAGGTTGTCAGTTTACCGGGGGACACAAGGGCGCTTCCAAGACTTTGTTCCTCAGGGCTCCTGAGCAGCGTGTCTAGCCGTGGTGAACTGATGAGGCTGCAAAGGTCCATACCAGTCCCGCGACAACTGGTTGGCTGGTATGCCAAGGGGCGAAGGGCCAGCCAACCCGGAGCAGAGGCCTTGACCTTTTCGAAAGGTACCAATGTCAGCTCATTGTATCTTGCCCAGCTTAGGAGGACAAGGGGCGCAGATACGAATGGAATTTTTCCTTGTCCATACCAACTATCCCATGCGCAGGACATTGGCCCGGTTTAATGTGAGCTGTAGAACCCGGGAAAGAAACTTTGGGCCCCAAATTGCAATGTAGAGGATTGAGTGCTCTCAAATTCGAGCCGAGGAGCCACGTTGTCGCCATAATCTCAATATACGGGGCCGACAAGATAGTTTCAACAGTCTACACAGTCACACTGAACCGCTTCGGGAAGAGGCGAGCATTCCCCCTCGCGGATGAGTGCTGCTCGTCTGTTGAATTCATAATCCCGGCATCTAACCCTCTACCACTTGCCTACGGGGTGATTCCCGGGGAGAATGCCTGCCAAGGGGAGACAAACTATCCTATTGCGGTGTTTCCATCGCCTTCGGAGTCAGTTCCTGGCCTTGGAGCACAAAACATGATTCATATTGAACATGATTCATATTGGGAAGTGGGTGGCCCCGTCTTGCTTGAGTTTTAAGATGTCAGACTTTCCGAGAGCTCCAATCAAGGACCCGATTATCGAGAAGTTATTTCTCCACGAGTTGTGTCCAGTTGCTTGTATTGTACCACAGCGGCAGCGACATCCCATACCAGAGGCGTATCTCAAGGGGAGGCGAGAGACATCAAATTGGCGAGCCGATGAAGCGACGCAGTCCGGTGAAACTGTTCCGACAATTAGAAATGGGCACCGAATTGATTTCTTCTAACGTATGTCTCCAATCTCTCCTTCTTCACGTTTCAGGGGGATGAATCCGCGGAGCTTCGAGGCTGGATGCTTGACAAACTATATGTCAAAGTCCTCAGTGTCAAGGACCGACGTATGCTGTGTTCTATTACCCGGGTGCATCGTGATGGGCCAAGTCGGCCAAATTGATGGTAACTTGAACCAAAACGGCCTATTCCCTCCCCCGTAAGGTCTCCCCAGCTGACGCCGTGTTTGTATAAGAGTTGAGTTGGAGTTCCTGCACAGAAAGGGAGAAACCAGACAACGTACCCGGCTGTGGCACGGTATGGCTATCGTATCTGAAGCATATACTGGGCGCTTGGCAAATAAAGTTTGCCAGATGCCGTGCCGCTGCTTAGCTGTCCCTCGAAACGATATTCGGGTCGTAAACTTTCCCTTGTTCCCTCCCGTCGGCCGAATGCCCCGAGCCAAGCAGGAAGCAGGGGACGTCGACCTCCGCCATGGAAACGGCAAAGGCATGCATATCAATAGCATCTGCTAACAAGGCAATCGTGGTAGGCAATCGTCTACAGATACTAGTAAGCCCCGTAGCTGTAATGCTGTGACCAATTCACCCGACGCCCTAGTTCGCGTGGCCCGGGGTTGTGGTGGAAGGCTTCCAATGCATTTCTTGAAGACGTCCAAGGGCGGCAATATTGGTGGTATGCACTGCTGCGAAGGGTTGTGTGTGGGCAAGGGCATATTGGGTAACGGACTATTTGTTTATGGAATTGTGCTTTTGTAGGGTTGAAGGGTGTCGTCGTTCCTGGCGGGGAAGAGGCTCTACTGGAGTTGCCCCTTGCAAGGGCATCGTTTGTCGCCCTCGCTGACCTACCAGGTGATCAGTCAGCCGAGTATACCGCCTACGGACTCTCACTGACTTCTATACTACGAATCTGGTTGGCTACTGTGGCGTTATTGTTGACAATTTTAACCAGTTGGAATTGTGCCCCTGTTGTTCAGACTGTATGTCTCGATGACGTTTGCTTAGTTACTCGTCGGTAATGGAGTTGTGAATTTGACGACAATCTGTACAACTGCACGAGAGACAACCTCCACCAAATACCTCGACGACGCGTGAGAAATATACCATTTACTTATCTGTCCAAACATATCCATACTGTAAAGATATATCTCCAAAAGCTGCCAGACACGTGGATTGATTTCAAACATAGGGCTACCCTGTACCCTTTGCCAGAATGCGAACCCTAAATGAGAAGGTGGCTTCGATATGGAGCTCTCCAATGCGTAAGTCGGACCAGGCGTTAGAGTTCACAGCGGTAACCTGCTATTGAGCAATATTTACCGCAATTTACATCAGTTTCCCTCCCCAGAAAGCGGAAACACAGGTCGCCGCACCTCCATGGAGGGAGGAACAGAGATGACTTAGACTATCGCATTGCCCAGTATTCGCTGCTAATACACTCTTGCAGTTGCAATACCGACCATATGTGAGCATCTCCTAACATCATCGTCTCTGCCAACACCAGATTCATTTCATTCACGTTCACTCATCATCAAGACACGCAGCGTTTGAATAGGTTGAAAGATTCATCATTTAGACCATGACCATTATATCTCGTGGCCCCAAGTCAAGATGCCCTAACCGGCCAACCATGCAATGAAACACAATGGATAGTGACTCCGCGCACCCACTTTTCAGCCCTCGTGAAAAACATCCTCTTAGTATCGCTTGCCGTCCCGCAGGGTATCCGCAAACTCCTCCAGGGGACTCCGGATGAGCTTGGTCTCCTTCCACAAGTTGGGCGTGAGGAAGCCGTAGGTGTTGGAGACGGCGGCAAACGTGGCCTTCAGTGTGTTTTCGAGGGTCTTGGTCGAACCGGCGGACGATGTGTAGGCGTCCTCGACACCAGCGAGCTGGAGGAA